AACTAGGCATTTAGAGAGACAATTGATTCCCTCAGACCATTAGGATCCATTTCTTGCTTTGCTTGGAGTAAAGAAAGGGCACAATGAAAACAATGAAAGATCATTGTCACAAACTTACTCTCCTTGTTCATGTGCTGAGGAATACACAAGAATTAGGCTAGTAACAGCTCTTCTCAGGGCACTGTACACAAATAAGTGTCTAATTTCTTGCCTTCAAATGGAAGCATCCTGAGAACAAGGCTTCCTCTAGCTCAAAGGAGTAACACAGCATCAAATAAAGTAGAATACTGTTTAAACAAAGATAATCATGAAAAAGTTTTGGGAAACAAATTACCAAAGTGAGTTTTGCTATTTTGCATTTAATTTTCAAAAAGTTTTGGGATTAAAACACGGAAATAATATAAAAATAGATCATTTCAGAAAGGAAATACAAACACATTTCCTTTCTACAACTAAGATTTGTGCTGTATATAGCTCACTGATTTATGACATGTAATCCCACACAGAACGTGAAAGGAAGCTTCGCACCGCACCCTTCTCTAGAGCACTGCCATGCAAAGTCTTGGAAGTTATCATGTTTGGCAAAGTAAATGTATTTCCTATAATTTAAGCATTTCTTTCTCAGAAAAACCAGGCAGGTTTCAGGAATATGATGCCTTAAGCCACACTCTGACTTGTACATGGATGCCTGTGATGCCTCACAGTGACCATGGCATCATTCCCAACGCAACAGCAACACAGGCAAGCCAGGGAATCACGCACGCTGCAACACTAGCAGGTTTCCCTTGCACGGAACTGTATTCTCCCTGGAGAAGCCCTTCAGTCTTTCGCATTGCTATGTGGTCTGAATTCTAATTCACCCTCTTTACCATGGAGTTTCAGACAAGCACCGGAGGATGTTTATGAAATGGACAAAAGAACGGTAAACTGCACATTTGCCTGCAGAAAGAGGCTTTTTTTTTTTTTTAAATAGGATCCAAAAGTCTAAATTCTTCTGAATGATCTTAGGTGATTCTAAGAAAAAGGGTCCCAGGGACCACGTCCTGAGAAGCAGTTTTGCTAGACAACTTTAGACTGGGTTAGTGCAGGAATGGGTCTGCTTAAGTGTGTGGCAAAAGTCCAGGTTCTAGTTAACATCTCCCAGGGACCATGAAGCCAGTCCCAGTGGATAACGCTTGAAGCATCTGTGTGAGCAAAAGGTGCTGTATGCTAATTTTTTTCAGTTATAAATAAAAATCATCTGGGTGTTGAATAATTTATGGCTTCCTGCAAAGCTGAATTGGAAAACATCAAGCTGGCAGCCTTTACTGTCGCAGCCGGAGTATGGACAGCTGCCACGCACGCGTATCTGTTACTTTTTTCGGAGATTATCTCCACATACTATATTATCTGGCCTTCCACATTAGCAAGTAACACGAAACACAATCAATATCACAGAGGCCACGGCACAATTAGAGACAAAGTGCAGGCATCCTTAGCTTGCTGGTACGGAAATCTGAAGGGAATAAGGTGTTGTCCACTTATTGTGGAAGCCCAATTCTGGTTAGAAGACTACTGGACCCTTCAAAATCAACTCAATTTCCAATCAAGACAGCTATTGATAAAGGAATTTAAGAAAGCACAGTCATAAAAGTGATTGCATTTTACAAGTCATCTGTACGAGAGTGCTGAAAGTATAAGATTCCTTTAAGAGGAATTTAATTGCCTTTTTAGAAGGTAGTATATAAACATTGTGCACATAGGGATTTATATGTCGCTTTCAATTTTCAAGCACTTTCCACTGAGTAAAGTGGAAAACGCTGGGTTTTTTTTTCTCTGCACCTCAGGTGACCCTTTCCCAAATGATCCAAGTGTTTTTGGTCCCTGCACTTCTGATTCACCTATTGAACAGACTCTGAATTTATATAGCACTGGCTTAAAACACAAAGAGAAGAATTATCCTGTAAAAGTGGTATTTGATAACCCAAATCTGAATAATAATTTCTCCAATGCTTTCACTGAGGGGTTAATTCATGTGTTAATTTTATTCCCTTCAGATTTTGCTCATGAGAGTTGTAGCATCTCACATTTAATTCCTTTAAACACACACACACACACACACACACACACACACACACACACCAAAACCCTAGACGCACCTCCTGTGTGTTCTGGTTCCCGTGTGCCTTCACCAGGCAGGGGCTGCTGTATCAACACTCTGCTCTCTTCTGGCCTTAAAGTAGATTCTAGTCTGTGGAATTTGTGAATTCTGTCTCTGACAAGAATAGCACTGGCCCTCTCACGTTCTGCCCCCTCTCTGGCATCAGGCTGACCAAGATCCTTTTTCTGGACTACATTTGCAATCTCAGCTACCAGGTCTGACTCTGATTCTGCCTTGTTGGTAGGGTTATATTTGTGCACATGGACAACATCTTCCCTTTCTCCTAGCAGTTTGGAAAGCAGTGAATAGAAATCACCTGCGGAAAAAGAGAAGAGAGAAAAGAGGTGGAGGGTTGATGCGATCACAAAATTTATAAAATTTAGTGCCTCAAATATATATCATCTCTTGATTCTTCACAGTAAACGAGAGATGGTGCTGCTCGCGGGCATTCAGGCACAGGAGAAAGAAGAGCGCAGAACAATTCCCAGAAGAGCGAGAGAATGATACATCTGTACTTTTCATTTTATAGACCACATAGATATTTGTTTTATTTCATGAATCCATGCATGATGGCTATTTTCATATTAGGAGAAGCAGAATAATGCATATGTGATTGCCCAGAACATTTCAACAAATGGCTTTCACAAGACAGTTAAACAAATATGGACGTTGAGATTCCTCAGATTTTTTTTTTTTTTTTCGGAACCGGGGATTGAACTCAGGCCCTTGCACTTGCCAGAGAAGCACTTATTCCACTGAGGAATCTCCCCGGCCCTTCCTCAGATTTTTATTTTATTTTATTTTATTTTTTTTGCAGAACCGGGGATTGAACTCAGGCCCTTGCGCTTGCCAGGGAAGCGCTTATTCCACTGAGCCATCTCCCCGGCCCCCCATCCTCAGATTTTT